TTATCGTATAGTGTAAATTTTTTCAAGAATGATAATGGGTACATGGCTATATTTTTAATTCCTTACATAACTCTAAGAACTATACCTATGTACAATGTATATTTGAGCAAAAACCATATAAACTGCTAGAAAGTAATTAACGTCAAAATTTGAGAAAATTAGTTTGACAAAGCTAGTCAACCTCAATTGTTTTAGAAGTAATCAAATTTTGTTTTCGTCGATAACAAAATTCATTAAGAAAGGATTCTTTGAAATCATTTTGTTAGTATTTCAGCTATTCTTTGTCTACATACCTTTGCTACTTTTTGACTTTTACACAAAGAAGTTAAATTTAAAGATAAAATCATCCTACACGAAAATGTTATTTTCTATTAAATATCTAGAATGCAAGTATATAAACGAAGGTACCTAAAAATGCAAATGACATATCATTGAATAGAGCGTATCAGATTGTACACAATTGACTATTCATTATAATTTTTTTATTTTAGGTATAGAGTATTCTTTTTTATCAGATCTCTATACAAAACACAATCTTTACAGACTATGAGACTTGTAAGTCCTGATTGGTATATTATTGAAGCGCTGGGGGTTTAGCAACCTATAAAATATATTGTCCAAGTTAATCAATGAGAAAAAGAGTAATCGCGCAAAAACAGCTAAAGTCCCAATCGTATCAAAAAGTTACTATTTAATCATATATGCACAAGAATAGGAATTTATATTATAGATATCTATTGTTAAAAAATTTCTGTTCCAATTAAGCGTTTTGACAGAAGAAATAAATGATGGAAATCAATATTGTTTGCATATGATCGCTCTTATTTTTTAGATATTCTACGTGTAATTTTTTATGAACTTTAAAAAACACACTGATTAAAATAAACGAACGTATCATAATCATCTACCTGTAGTCCTATATGAATAAATCAAGAAATATCAGGAAAAAATTAAGAAAGGAATACGATTGTGATGTCTGAATATACGAAGAATGTTCGAAAACATCTTAGTTATAATTATTATGTGTATGTTATAGCTATATACATTTAAGTAGATAAAACAAAAGAAAAAATAATAATAATAACTATACAAAAGTCCGCTGATGAAACAAATATTCACCAAGATTTTAGATGCACAAAAAATCTTCATAATCATCTGATTTATACTTGTGAAAACTTCTTGGTATGATTCTCAACAGTTTAAATGAAATGAGAAGAAAATAGTACCTTTTATAGAAAACTCCGCTGAAGAAGCGAGTATCTGCTAGGAAATTAGATAAACGAAAAATATGCATAATTTATCGTATCGTATATAGTCATCATATGTATTTCATGACTGCTTACTAAATTTGGAAAATAAAATAAAAAGAAATATACTGCTAGAGATAGAAAAATCTGCAAAAGAAAACAAATATTCACTAATACGTCACATAAACCAACAAATATTCTACAGTATTTAATTTACAGTAATTCTATACATTTCAATGGTACATGTTTAAATAGGTGAAATATAAGGAAATAACATCATAAGTATAGTAAAGTCTATTCAAAAGAGAAATATAAAACAGTGCATTAGATTATACGAAAACAATTCGTGTGTAATGAACTTGTATGTGTACTGTGTTTTCTATCAAATGAAAGAATGAAAAGTCCTTCAATGATTAGAAATGTCCGCTGGAAAAACGAAATATCCGCTGAAGTGATATTTACATTTTTCTCCTTTCCTGTAACGTATTATATTGTAAATTATATTCGATAAGAAAAGTCCCTTAGCCAGCTGAAGGACTTTTACTAAAGTGGACATTTTCTGGACCTTTGACATTGCTGCATCACTATAACACCAACCACAATAAAATACTGCAGAAACGGTGCATGAATCTTCACCGTCACTCATCACTTCACACAAATCTAAAGGATTTCCACATACTTTTCACAATCTTTTTCTTCACATTCACATTCATCCTCAACAATCCATTGAAAAACCATGAAATCAACAACACAATAATCACTGCGCTAATCATCTTTCAACCACACGCATCATTTTTTCATTTTTCGACAGCACTTTTCCCTATAGTTAATTCATTTTTCCGCTTGTTTTTCATTTTTCCTTCGCCAACGCAAGAAACATTCGATATCAAATGGCATAATCATTGCGCTAATCATTTTTCTACTGCACGAATCATTTTTTCATTTTTCGGAAGCATTTTTCCCTATAGTTAATTCATTTTTCGTTGACGAAAGCTAGACACATTGAAGAAGAGATGGAGGAATGGTTGTGTTAGAATTTTTTGTTGTTTAGCAATTATGCTTTCAGTGTGTACGATCGAATTTGTGTGTTGTGTGGGTTGTGTATTTGATTGACGCTGCATTTTTGACTTGAGGAGCATTTTTCTGCTTTGTATGCACATTTTTGTCACCGATGAATTCAATGTCCAAGCCTCGGCACAGTAAGTAATATAAAGTACTATAATAAGTAATAGATAGTACTATGATAAAGTAAGTAATAAAAAGTACTATAATAAGTAATAAATAGTACTATGGCAAGCAATACATAGTATTATGAATAAGGAATTAATAAAAAGTACTATGATAAGTAATAAATAGTACTATGAATAAGTAAAGTAGAGAAAGTCACTAATAAGTGAACCTTTTAAAGTAACTATAAGTATACCAATAAGTGAAAGTACTTTTAAGTACTTTTCAAAGTAATAAAAAGTATACTACTTCATATAATACAAAATACTTCTTGAAGTAATAAAAAGTACTTTCACTTATTAGTATACTTATAGTTACTTAAAAAGGTTCACTTATTAGTGACTTTCTCTATGATACGAAAAAATATATAAAGTACTTAATAGTAACTATTTCGATCCTAAACTTTCACATGGGAATCTCCAACCGAAATCAAAACTTGAAGCAAACCGCAAGCAAATTGGTTGAAAATTAATTTCTCTCGTGAAAAATGTCTGCAGGCAGCATCCCAGCGCGTGTAGTACGACTTTCTGATGGTATCACTATCAGTCTTCGCATTCTGTTGGAGAGTCCTTTAGATTTTTCATGTCTGTGAGTATTTTTGACAGCGAGTCTGATATTTTTTATTAGTGGTTTTAGCGTTGGCGAACTAAAATGACTTCCAATGGAACAGCATTAAAAGAGTCTTTTTTTGGGTATCTAAAAGAGATTCTGCGTGCGATCCACTGAGTTGTTATTTAATAGAAAATACACCTGGAAATAATAATCATATGTTGACTCTTCAGCTAAATAAATCCAGATTAGATTCTTTTATGCGTAAGATCCGTAACTAGGCATACTTTGAAGAATTACGACTGAAATTTGCTTCCCTATAAGCGCCAAATTGTGTTGTGGCCATTATATATACTTAGTGTTTACAGTTGACAATAAAGATGATCATAAGACATTGTGAAGCATCATATTTGATCTTTGCTAGTTATCGTTGTACATGTTTGTTGTTCTTTTGTCGTAACTGACTGTTATATAGCCGTTTACGACAGATTGTGATTGACATTGAGGACCAATTATTATATACGAGCAGTAAAATTCACTCTAAAAAAAATCGGTACTCTACCGAACCTTAATAGTTCCGCAATTTTCCACCGAACGATTTTAAGTTCCGTGGAGTGGAAAACGTTCCGTGGTCGCCTTTCAGAACTTTTTTAAGTTCAGCAGATTTCACAAGGTTTCGCAATTTTGCGCAGGAACCCTTTGAAGGTTTCGCACTTTTGCGTCGGAACTCTTTGAAGGTTCCGTAAAATGTGGGTGGTTTCGTGCATCATGTGCCAATCCTCTGATAGTTTTGTGAAATTGCAGAAGGTTTCGTCATTTACAGACGGAACCACTGTTGGTTTCGTGGACGATGTGAAGGTTTCGTATTCTTTGTGCGGAACTTATCGACACTTTCTGGTCGGCTCTAACGTTCCTTAATATGTCCACAGAACCACCGTTGGTTTCGTGGACGATGTGAAGGTTTCGTATTCTTTGTGCGGAACTTATCGACACTTTCTGGTCGGCTTTAAGGTTTCGCAATATGTCCACGGAACCAGTGTTGGTTCCCTAAACTGTCGAAAGGTTCGGAATATTTTCTACAAAACGGCTGATAGTTTTCTTGATGATCCAACGGTTTGGTATTATTTCTGCCGAACTTTTCAACATTTTCTACTGAGCATTAAGGTTTCGTATTATTTGTACGAAACTATTTCAAACTTTCTAGTGTGCTTTAAGGTTTCGTATTATTTGTACGAAACTATTTCAAACTTTCTAGTGTGCTTTAAGGTTTCGTAAAATGTTGCCCAAACCAGCGTTGTTTTCGTAAACTATCCGAAGGTTTCATAGTTTTTCCACCTAACTTTTCCCAGTTTATTATCTAGGTCGAACTTTCCCGTGGCTTATCGTGGTCCCTCAGTCCGAATCCGTTATCAGTTTTTCCATCCAAGCTTTCATAGGTGAAAAAATGCACCGATCAGGAGGCCAAATTGCACAGGGTAGATTTTTTATTTCAACTCCGAGCTAAATTCTGAGGTAAGTTTCCTATAGGTTATCGAGGTCCAACAACTCGAGTATGTAGTCAGTTTTTCGCGTCAGGTTCCCATTAGCCAGAAAATCGGTCCCACTCAGAGTCAAAAGCTGTAAGGGTAGATTTTTTTTAACCACAGGGGACANAGTCAAAAGCTGTAAGGGTAGATTTTTTATTACAACTTGTTACAGCATATCTTGACTCACTTCGCTCTACGTGCTTGTTCGAGTCGCATTCCTTCGTGTCTTATTCGAGTCGCATTCCTTGATGCTTTATTCTCTCCTATATATATATGTTGTTCTCTCTGCTCGCTCGCGATATCGTGTGTGCATCGATTCGAATAAAGGAGAACGCTAATATTTGGTGCCGTCACCCGGTCTTCTTGACTATTACCATCAAAGAAGAAGAACCATCTTTAAAACACTACGTTTATTATCGAATTTATCACCAAGCTATTATAATAATCCACGATGGATTTATCGTCATTAAGTCAGCGTCATCGACAGTTGGAGGAGGATCATTTATACTTCTTCACCCGAAAACAAATTCGAAGTGTTCGAGCATGGTTCGAAGACATTGAGATGGTGGCTCAAATGATTGATGCTGATGAGTCTGTCTTATTGGAACAAGCAGTTGAACTGTTAATCGATGGAGCCGAGCGATTGTACTGGCAACGAAGAAAAGTGTTAATCACATGGTCGGATTTTAAACAAGGAATGATAGCACTGCTAGCACAATTTGATAAGGATTCGAAACGAAATAACAACACAAACGCTACGATGCAATCTGTAATCTTGATGAAAGAACGTCGGCGTACCATCGCATGGCATCCACAACACGTCGCACATTACAGGTCGTATCACGCTAGTAAATCATCTTCAACTAATCAAACACCGGTTTGCTCGTCATCTCCTTCTCCGCTCTTTGAATTATATCCGTTTGAAGACCCGTGGCCTAACGGTACTGAGTCATGGCATATTCATGAGATACGGCCACAACGATCTTCATTTACAACCAGGCTCGATAGCGAAATGTTGATGATCACACCACAAATTATGGTAGAACAAAAACATGAGCCGATGCAAAGTGCACTACAATCGAATCAAAACGTACTTGAATTTGCATCGACAATTGATCCAATATCATTTCTACCTGTTAAACTACCCACGGACATGAACGACATCGTTGATATGGATGTTTGCCTACAAAAATCCTTACGATCATCCAAGACAGCAATTGCTTCAAATGTTTTGAAACAAAAACAGCAGCACCGATTTGTTCGGAACTTGAAAGATTTGTCAAACGGTTCATTACTCTCGTCACATTTCGTATCGCAAATGCAGCTACGAGATCAATCGCGCAACTTATTATTGCAACAAATAGGTGTACACTCTACTGTGTTGCTATTATGTTTATTTACCGTACTAATACGTTTCGATATTGTACACTGTCTGACGTATCTTATATACAGTGTTACCAAAGAATCTCAAACGTTCGCATCAATACTCTTTGTTGGCACGATTCTCACTATCTGTTCCCACCATTTAAAGCATTTAACGCCGTACGTTAAAACCATTGAAACACTTCGTAAACTCGAATCACTCTTAATTTATCCTATTACATAATCATCGCACATTATTTGTATTTTTTCATTTGAACACACGGCGATTCAGTATGTTATCAGTAATTTTTCCTCGTTCATCACATCCTAAACTCATGATTATATATCGTATTGTTTGCATTCAATTATGTTTCTGCCTGTCAAACTGAGTGACAATGATCGACATTTTTTCTGGAGCTTTGTTTAACAAGCTTTCGGGCTTGCACGTTTCGTCAATATTCGTACACGCATTCGTTCTGGACGATCAGAACTTGGATTTTCATCATCGATTTTCTTCTTCGTTAACCATTCGTACTCTTCGTATTCATACGTTAAAATCTATCGCACGGTGTACGCATAATTTATCATCGTTCTCGCATTCTTCTTAATTTTTTAAATTGATTAATTTCTTGCTTCCATCTTATTTCTTATTTCTTTTTTCGCGTTTTCTGTGTAGTTTCTATTTTTATTTTTGTTGTTTCTTTGCCTATTTATGATGTGTGTGGACACACATCTCATGTCGGTGAGGAGGTATGTTACAGCATATCTTGACTCACTTCGCTCTACGTGCTTGTTCGAGTCGCATTCCTTCGTGTCTTATTCGAGTCGCATTCCTTGATGCTTTATTCTCTCCTATATATATATGTTGTTCTCTCTGCTCGCTCGCGATATCGTGTGTGCATCGATTCGAATAAAGGAGAACGCTAATACAACTCCGAGCTAAATTCTGAGGTAAGTTTCCTATAGGTTATCGGGGTCCTTGAGTTCAAATCCGTTATCACTTTTTCTGTCCGAGCTTCAATGGCTCAGAAAATGTACCGATCAGGAGCCCAAATTTCACAAGGTAGATTTTTTATTTCAACGGCGTTCTCAATTCATGGGTAAGTTTGATGTGTTGAAAATGAATAAATTGCTTTGTTTATTATAGATTTATTCATATATAAGATTTTAAGTAAATGAAGTTTCACAAAGTAACACACATTTGTTTAGGTTATTTATGGATTGCCTCAACGGTGCAGTTTCGGGTCAGTTTGATTGTATGTAATTTAATAGGTTTCTTTAGTTTTTTGTTTTAGGTTTGTTGTATATACGCACTTTTAGGTAAGTTCTATATTGGCAAATCGAAAGAATTATTCATTTTTCTTTTAATTGTAGGTTAATCTAGATTTGAAATTTTAAGTAAGTCTGATTCTGATGTTATGAAACAAAATAAATGTCGTTATTTGTTTATTTTAGATTGATCCAAATACGAAAATAATGGAGTAAGTTTGATCTTATCAAATGATTATATTTGTTCATTTCTATATTGTAGGTTACTGCAAATGTGGAAATCAACGGTGGATTTGACTTTAACTCTCTGGTGCCGTCCGTGGTGTGCATACTATTCGAGTATTTTTGAAAACCCAAGTATGGTATAGATCAAATAGATCAAGCGTGAGCGGGAATGGTCAATACAGTAATTTTCCTTCATTGTGGAGAAAATTACTCTATAGACTACTCTCGCTTACTTTTGATTTATTTGATCAATACCATGCTTGGGTTTTCAGAAATGCTCGAATAGTATGCATACCACGGGCGGTACCTTTTTCGAATTGCTTTTGTTAGGTTTGGTACGAAACCATGGCTACGAAACCTTTTTATTTGAATATGTTTTGAAAGGTTTGATACGAAACCTTTTTTGAACGGAGTTTGAGAGGTTTTGTACGAAACCATTCCTACGAAACCTTGTTTTTGAGTTATCGTAAAGGGGGTTGGTACGAAACCTCACTTTTTACGAAACCAAAAAAGGATCTTACCGTGTACCGAGGATAAGATCCTTTTTAGGTTTTGTAAAAAACCAATTTTTTTTAGAGTGTTGTCGGACTTCTCGAAGACGGCTACAGAAAAAGTGAGGATATAAACGGATATGAGACATATTTTTTCTTTCAACTAATGCACACTGATACCTCTTTTTAATCGAAAT